TCTTTGTTGGTATGTGGTGCTGAGGATCGAACCTGGGCCGCACGCATGCCAGGCGAGCGCGCTACCGCTTGAGCCACATCCCCAGTCCATTTTGTTTATTTTTAAAGTGGTGCTGAGGATCGAACCCAGTGCCTCACAAGTGCTGGGCAAGTATTCTACCACTGAGTTACAACCTCAGCCCTATAAGATGAATTTAAATGACTAGAACTTAATGTGGTTCCATCTTTTAAGATGATTTCACCAATTCTAAATCCAAGAAATCTATATAAGGATAGAAAAACCTCACTGCTCAACTAAGTTCTTTACCTCTGCTAAATTTATTCCACTATTTGAATTGATTAGTAAAAATATAGTTCATTACAAAAATTAGTTTCACATCAAGAGAAAAAAATGTCAGTAACAGTTCAGTAGAATAAGTTAGCTATAAAGGTCTATTGCTTCTTCCCTAAAACCCAAAATATAGAATAATTATGATCTGAATTCTGATCATTTGATGAGTTGGATGACAAGACTTCTGTTTAAGATTCTTTACAAAGAACTACGGCTATATATGTGAAAGAATTAAAAAACAGGTACTCAAATTCTTATACATAAGCAGCTCTATTCATAATAGACAAAACAGAACAATTCCAATGTCTGTCAATAGATGAATAAACAAAATGTGTTTTTCATTTATCAATACAATGGAATATTGTTTAGCTACAAAGAAGAATGAAACACTGATACACACTAAGACATGGATGAACCTTGAAAACATATGCTAAGTGAAAGAAGCTAGTCACAAAAGGTCACAGATTATTCAATTCTATTTGTAGGCAACATTCAGAATAAGAAAATTTTCTCTGAAATTTCACTCCATCAAACACGGTAAACCATGCCAGGGATTCATATGGGAGAAAGGCCATTTTCTATTAAACAGTATGGTTAAGGCTGGGAAAGAGCAGAACTTACAGAAAATGATAAAACAATGAATAAACAACAACAAAAATCAGGAATAGGAAAGAGTAAACTGAAATAAAAAATATTGAGGATTAAAAACAAAATCATTATAAATTCAGCACAATTCAAGAAGAAAAAAGATTGAAGTTGTTAGTAGTGATAGAATATCTGCTTAAATCAATTAGAAAGTGTTAAAAGGCCTATGAAAGAGGAAAAGAATTTTGCATGGAAAAGAAAGATATTCTCAGTGCACTTATAAATTTACAAGGATAGAAAAGTCACAACCCTCCTCCCAAAAGTCAAACAAACAAACAAAAAATCCCCAAACCCTTATTATACTGGAATTTACAGACTATATTAAGAACTATCCAATTACTCATCATGGGAACCGTGTATTTCTTTAGATGCCAACTAACAGTGAACTATTTTTTAAGATCCACTTTGGAGTTGTTGTCAAAGCTAGTTTTTAATCATTTACATCAGTTTCACCCAACATATTATCCCAGCTGTTTCTAAAAGGACAGTAATTTTTCCAATGCTTTGCATTACTGATAAATTGAGAAATAATCACTCATAAAACTATACTTACATACTCCTTCACGTTTTTTGTTTTCACAGTTTTGTATGAATAATATGCAGGATAAAGCATTCCAAACACCAGTCTAAAAATAAAAAAGGAGAAGACTTAATTAAACACAATGCTTGTATTTTATTTTATGGTTATGAGAGTCTAATCCAGGGCCTCATCCATGCTAGGCAAGTGCTCTACCAGGGGCTACACCTTCTCCACCCCCTCTACTGGGAGTCAAACTCAGGGGCACTTTACCACTGAGCTAAAACCCCTATCCTTTTTATATTTTATTTTGAGACAGAGTCACTAAGTTTCAGAGGCTGGTCTCCAACTTGACAACCTCCTGTTTCAACTTCCTGAATGGCAGGAACTGTAGACATGTGCCAACAAGCCTGTCTGGTTGCAACAACTCTTTTAACAAAAAACTAATCAAGAAAACTAACCTAATAGAAAAAAAAAGTATTTTAGGAAACTTATAACTGTAAATTTGCATGAAGGCAAATATGTGTATAAACTAAATCCACTTAGAAAAGCAAAGTCAAAATATGTTTTTTTAAACAAAAAGATATTTCAATATTTTGGATACCAGTTTTGTGAAATGAAAGATTTATTTTTTTTAAAAAACTGACTTTTAAATCTTGTTTTGCAACACAAAAACATATTCTATGGTCCTTTGAATTACATTTGAAAAATGTAAGAAATCCATGAAAGTAAATTAAAAATTGTTCAATCCTACCAGTTATAAATAACCACATACTATATTTTATCATATGCAAATCCCACTCTATCTGTATATAGTACACCTAAAACATAAACATACATACACACACACAGTTTGTGGAGATGAAAACTTGATCATGATACTGGCTTCTGATTATGAAAGAGCTGTGAAACAACACTTGATAATATTAATTACCATATACATTAAAATACCTCTGTAAGTATTTGTAAAAGACCTCAAATCACTAATAGGACTGAATTTAGTGTCACTTATTCAGATCATTAATTCCTTGGTCTAAGAGATATACACAAACAGAATAAATGGATAGATGGATAGAAAAATGTTATGACATAGCTTACAACTGGCATTTTCCTGTAATATAGCATTTTTTTGTATTATTTTTTTTTGGGCGGGGGTGTAACTGGGGATTAAACTCAGGGGCACTTGAACACTGAGCCACATCCCAGCCCTATTTTGTATTTTATTTATAGATGGGGTCTCACTCAATTGCTTAGCACCTCGATTTTGCTGAGGCTGGCTTTGAATTTGCGATCCTCCTGCCTCATCCTCTCCAGCCACTAAGATTACAAGTATGCACCACGGGTGCCCAGTTCATCAGTATTATTCTTAATATCTGCATTGCCTTGTACTTTGAGATTCTCACAATCCTGAGTTTATAGGATTCTGGTTAATCCCTAAGATTTTGCTATTGAACATAATACTGTGAAAAGCATTTTTCTGATCATTGACATTTCATTCCTGGTTGTGATATTACTGCTTTAAAAAGTATACATATATTTTACCTACTACTGAAATATCTCCCAGGGAAGCTGTTCTGTTTTACATTCCTATGTTATAAATCAAACATTTTATTTTTTAAAAAAGAAGGGGCTGGGGATATAGCTCAGCTGGTAGAGTGCTTGCCTTACATGCACAAGGCCCTGGGTTCAATCCCCAGCACCAAGAATAAATAAATAAACAAACAAACAAATATTTTTTAAAAAGAAAAAACAAAACAAAACAAAAACAACCAAAGATTTGCCAGCTACATAAGAAAAACAAATTAAAACTGTACCCTCTCCCCCTGTACTGAGGATTGAACCCAGGGCCTTAACACATAGTAGGCAAGTGCTCTATCACTGAGCTACATTGCCAGCCCTTTTTCTTTGAGATTAAGACCTAGACTGGCCTTAATCTTGTGATCCTCCTACCTTAGCCTCCTAAGTAGGTGGGATTATAGGCATGTGCCACCATCACCACCATACCTGGCCCTTAGAACTGTTTTAATAAGCATTTCTGGATACTATTAAGTTTGAATTTCTTTCAAGTGTATACTAGACTGTTGTTGCAGAGTGATATCTTTTTGTCTATTTTTGGTTTATTCTGTTTTAGAACAAGTTTTACAGAAAAGTTGGGAAGATAGTACAGATAATTCCCGTATACCCCATACTCAGTTTTCCTTACTACTAACATCATACATTGGTATGGTATATTTGTCATAGTGACACAGGAACTACAATCCACACTTACATTAGATTTTCTTAGTTTTTACAGAGTAGCCTTTTTCTGAATTGTATGGCAGGAAGTATAGCACCTTACATTTAGATGCCTTAGCTGTAATTTTCACAAATTTTCCTTATTTCTGATCACTTTGACAGTTTTGAGGAATACTGATCAAGTATATATAGAATTCTTCTCTATTTGAATTTGGTTTTTGTTTGTCTCATGATCAGATGGAGGTATGGGTTTCTGGGAAGGCCACAAAAATCAAGTGTCATTTCTATCACTTTATGTCAAGGGTACAGTTATAACATAACTCATGACTGTTATTGTTAACCCTGACCACTTTGCTGAGGCAGTGTTTTGTCAGATTTTGCCACTGTAGAGATACTCTTTTTCTCCTACTTTCCATATTGTACCCTTTTGAAAGAAGTCACCATGTACAACCCATGTGTTAGTGGGAATTATACTCTACCTCACTGATGGCAGAGTGTCTACATAAGTTATTTGGAATTTTTCTGTACTAGACACTTGTCTATACTCTTTCAGTTATTTGTTTATTCAATATTTATTTATCAGTATGAACTCATTAATATTTATCTTACATGCTGAATTATAATCCAATACCACTTTATTTATTTATTCATTGTGGTGCTGGGGATTGAACCCAGGGCTTCCTGCACGTGAGGCAAACAATCTACCAGTGAGCCACATCCCTAGCCGAGTACCACTTCATTTTGTTGCTCAAAGCATTGGCTATTGGGAAAGCTTTCAGTTAGCTCCTGTGTCCATTTGACATTGTCTATTTTTGTGAGATTTTCTTGAATACTTCATTATTTTCTGGCACAACATGATGCTCTAGGTTCATTTTATATATTTCTTGTCCTATTCCTACAATCAATCATGTCCCCAAAGAGCCCCAGTACTTTTTATTAAGGATGGTATTTGAAACCAATATCTGGATGCTAGGTATGCTCACTGCTACTGGAGGGTTGTTGATTCTAGGTCCTTGTTTTGTCTATTTACATGTTAATTTTGTAGATGTTATTATCTTTCCATTTTGGTTGTGAATTTGCCAAAATGCTAGGGCTACCATTACAAAATATTACACTCCAGGGGACTTAAACAATGGAAATTTGTTTTTTCACAGTTCTGTAGGCTAGAAGCCCAAGATCAAGGTGCTGGTAGGTTTTGTGTCTTCTAAGGACTCTTTCTTTGGCTCGCAGTCTTCTAGCTCTGTCCTCACACAGTTGCCCCTTAAATCTGTGTGTTTTAATTTCTTATAAGGATACAATCATATTGGATTAAGACCTATTTCAAATATGCCATTTTAACTTAACCACATCTTTGAAGACCCAAATCAGACACTTTCTGAGGTACAGGGAGTTAAAACTTCCACACATGAATGAGGAACAGGGGTTATGACACCAACACATGAATTTCAGGAGGACACACATCAGCATATAACATATATAGTATATTTGTAACCCTTCATATTGAATAAATATTTGTATTTATTCATATGATAAAGTCTTTCTTACACTGAATAAATACTTAAATCTCTATTTTTAATTCATTTATAGGATTTACTTGAGGAAAGTGAGGGCAGTAAATTTCTGGTGACTTCCTTATCATTTGGTTTATGGCTTGTGTCACTAGGTCGGAGGAGGAATACTAAGTCCTCAGTTGTAGATTTTATCCTTAGCAACTAGAAGCCCATCACTAACAATTCTGCCTTACCTAACAAGACTACCCTGGAAATGCCACTTTGCCAGAAGCACCAACTCCCATTCTCTGTCAATAGGAATTTTAGCTGTGCCACAGAGCTCAGGACTTTTCAGTTAAACTTTATGCCTGGTCCCCCCCTCCCACACACAGCCCAGAAATGTTTCAGTTTAGGCTTTATAAGAAAATAACTACCTAAGGTCTACACAAGAACTCGGTTCCCAGGGAAACTCTGTGTTCATCCTCACGGTTAATGTTAGGTATAATCCCTAGGTATAATAAGTAAGCCATCAGAGTTCTATTTTACATTTTCAAGTTCATAGTTTCAATCCAGTTTGTGTTTCTCTTGAGAACATGGGAACAACTCAAGGTATTATCTTCCATATTCTCAAATAATCTAGTGCCACCAGATTTAAATGCAACATGAGCTGCTTCTTTCTATCATTCTTTTGTAAAGGTCTTTGTCTCCGGCTTCCCATGGCAGATAAATCCATCTAATCTGCAACTTAGTCTTGTTGGTTCTTCCTTGGTCAGAGTACATGCATCCATCCTTCCTGCTTTATTTTCAATCTTGTGGCCAATACTTATTTTCACTTGGGCTCATGCCATCTCATCTGACTCACTGGATACTTTCCAGCCCAGTCCTGTGTCCACTGTCAGATCAGTCTTTTTAATACACCTGCAGCCAAGCCTTGCCTGAAGACTTCAGTGGCTGGCTGCCTCACTTGCTTGCTGACCAGCCCATGTGGGGGCTCATCAAAACATAATTTGAAGAGCACTGCTGTATATACACCATCTGCTCCAACACGGTTCCTTCATTGCGCCTGCTGCATTTCTACTTCAGTCCTGTAGTATATGCTTTTTGCCTGGAATGGCTCCCTCCCTATCTTTTCCCCTCTCCTTTCTTTCTTTTCTTCTTTTAAATTCTTGCTTAATTAAATCAGATATTTTCCCTTAAGATCCAATTTTCCTGCAAAAACCATCTATATTACTTTTATTTATAATGTTAGAGGAATTTCTCAGGATTAGTTATTTTGCATTTAGTATATTCTATTTTAGATTGTTTGACTTTTTAAAGTATATAACTAACTTCCACTATAGATAATTTTCTTAAATATTCTAAGGATTTGGTGCTAGTTGATAAT